AAGCAATGTTTAGGTTCCTGTCCTTCCTCCACACTTGGTATCTCTTTATGTTTTAATAACTGAAAATTTATGTTTGCACAGCACTTTAGTAGATATTCTCATTTTCTTGCATTACTCCTGCCCTTATAGTGTGGGAATTCTCTTGTCTGTGTTCTCTCCCACTCTTATTGCTCAAAATAATGATCAGTCAAACTCATTGCTTCTCTCTAAATACATTACGGACCAGCTCCCAGTTTTGTTGCTGTTCCTTTCATTGCATTCCAGGGCTTATCTTCCATATCGAAGTTATTTCTGCCCCTACTGTTAAAAATATGTTAAAAAAAATGAAACTGCTGATCCCCTACTCAGAATCTAAGAAGGAGCAGAGCACACTGAATATGAAAAGATTATTCAAACTATAGCAGTATCCAAACTTCATTAAATGATAATAGTTTTTACACAACAATAATTGGGATATTAGCTACTAATAAACTCAATTCATCTTATAGAAAGGCTTTCTAAACTTATTTTAATTTCATAATTACTCACACTGTGTGTAGCCCAATCATCGGTATGTTTTGTGCTGCCGGACAAACAATGAAAAATACATATTATTATTATTATTATTATTATACAGTATTTATAAAGCACCAATAGTTCGCTCAGCGCTGTACATTACAAAGAGGGACAGAACATGTGACAGAACAATACCAATACAATGCAAAACATGAGGGGATTGAGGGCCCTGCTCTTACGAGTCTATGAGATCTATATGAAAGATTGCTTAGAACAAGACATACAGTATATACTGTGGATAGAGATAGATAGATAGATAGATAGATAGATAGATAGATAGATACAGTGGTGTATTTAGGTTTCATGCTACCCTAGGCAACACAAAATTCTGCTCACCCGCCCCACGGAGAGACCCTGACACTGACCAACACTCCCTCCTCCACGAAGAGAGCCTGACATTGACCAGCAACACCCCAGACCCCTACCCCACCCAAGAATGCCTTCCACTACCACCACCCCTTATGCACTGGCAAGTCCCCCCCACCACCCTGCGAGAGAGAAGACATTTACCTTCACAGCTCAGGACATCCCCAGGAACAAGAGTCGGGCACTGCATACACCATAAAGCAGCCTGCAGCCTCTCTCAGATCCCACCTAGTCCCCATGCTGCGTGTGTCCCTTATGCCATCTCTTCTTTTGGAGGGCAGCGCTGCCCCCTTGAAAAATGCTGCTGCCCGTGAAAGCTGCTACTGCCCCCCTGACAGATGCCACCCTTGGCAAATGCCTTGTTTGCCTTGTGGTAAATACACCCCTGGATAGATAGATAGATGGATAGATAGATAGATAGATAGATAGATAGATAGATAGATAGATAGATAGATAGATAGATAGATAGATAGATAACACTGAAGAATGAAAATGGGACAAGTTCAGCTCTCTATGAAAAGTTAAATTTTGCTCTTTGTTTTTCAAATTATGCATTTTTTTTCTGTCCACATGAAAAAGTGGTACTGAATTCACTCAGCCTTTACTTTTAGTTAAGGTTTTAGACTCCCTGCTCACTTCCTAATTCCTGGACCCCAGCCAATGAATAGTATCAGACTATGGAATTGGTTGTCATAGGGCTGATGTTTACTGCATCTCGCTAGATAAGGATGAGCTTTCCTGTTTAGCAGATGATGCAAGGGCTCTTTCTCTGGCCTAGACCTTTTTAAGAATGTAAAATGCCTATAAAATGCCTGAAAGACTATACATTTCTTTTTATACAAATAACCACTTTAAATATTTCTTGGTCATCATTTTTGTAACTTTTATGTCTAACAAGCATGTGTACTTTTTTCTTCATTAATAATATAGAATATATTTTTCCAAACCCAGTTTCTTATTTTAAGAATAATTTAGATGAAATGGAGTAAATATTTTGACTAAGGTCTCAATACTTACCTATCCAATGGTCCTGCGCTGGCATCTTCTGAGTGCCAGTCTTTGGGCCTCTTCATTGTCTGGCAGGGGATGGCGTCACTCCTGTGCATGCGCAGGAGGCCATCATCCTGATACTTGGAGACCAGCCCAGAACTGTAAGCTGAGCTGAGCATGCACAGCTCACTTTACAGTGCCGGAGGAGAAAGCCAGGAGGCAAGTAGGGGCATTTTATGTCTCTTCAGCAATAAAAGTATGCCTGCTTGCTGGTTTTTACAGCGGGACTTTAGTTTTGCTTTACATCTATAAGTATGCATTTATTAAAATTTGTCACAAACTTGGACATAGGGTAAATGAAAATCCATACAAATAGTACATTCCTTCCTACCTCTCACACTTCTCTATCCATAAACCACCTCCTTCATATTTAGGTAGGCGTTAAGGTAGGGCTAAGCTTATCTTTTTACAGCAAGAGTTTTGATTTGCATGTAAATTAAAGTAATATTAAATCCCCCCAAAAATTACTACTTACCATAAGATCCTTAAATGTACTGGCTGCATTAGTTTTCTTTTATTTCCTTTATTTTCACCCAGTGATCCGGTCAGTAACACACTTCTTGCCTTAGAGTGTCTCCACTGTGGAGAGAATAGTGTTGGATGCACTAACAGGTTTAGATGGGCTTGACTAACAAATTAAAGGCGAACTCCAGCTAATACTTTTCAGACAGTTACAGCAACAGTTTTTTGGGGTGATAAAGGTTTTACATAAATACCTCCTTTGCTGCACAGCTTGGGTTTTGAAGCACCCCTGTCAATGTTAAATGGTTTGTTTCAACCCTCTAACTGCCATTTTTAATGAACAGCTTGGTCTGGTAAAGGAAGGTAAAAAATAACAGACTTCCTGGCAGGATCACCAGGTAAAAGTAAAAAAAAAAACTAAAAAAAAAAAATAATGTAGCCAGCCACCTATTAAAATGGTAAGCTGCAATATAATACATTTTTGTTTTTGGGTTAGGTTGTTCTGCTTTGTGGGTGCCCTGTTGGTAATCTCTTAAATTTTTCTTGCTCAGAATGCTTTTTTCTGGTTTATAATAGGCTTCCTGTGGTTTGTTAAAAAAAAATTGCTTTTTACTGTACCCTTTTGTTATACGTTTGCCTGTTTTTGAATTTATACTAGTTAATTTTGGTCAAGGTTATTCATGTTTTTGATCCTTGTTTAGGGCCCTGTACCTATAAATAGGTATATATGGGACTGGTGTAATGCTCAGAAAATGGGCAATATATAGTTATAAAATACAGTTGCCCACTGAGCTGAAAATCTTTGAAATGGGCAGCAATTAGTACATTGCAGTTTAATTATCCTAAGCAGGTCTTAATATCTGTTCAGCAAATGAGTCGATCTTTGTTAGTACAATATTACATATAATACCAATATAAATTGAACCAGTCTTCCTGAACAATTAACCTAATTAATTCCCTATCCATAGCCACTAGCTTTGTAAATTGTAAATCTCCTTTAAGTAATCCTGCCTTTGGCGACTTACTTCAAAAGTGATTATGTTTTTTAACTGAATGTCTCTGTCTACTGCATCATCAGTTTTCTGAAAGATCTTATTATTTCAGCAATTCCTGTCATGGAATAAGCTACTAAATCTAGAATTCTGACTCCTTTCTTTTCCTGGGAGGTAGATTATTGGTTTCTGTTCATATAACAGTATGGTTTGGATTACGGTCCCTTAGATCCTGTAGACACTTTTGTGTAGGTATGACCCAAATAATATTGTCATGTAAAAAGTTTTTCAATTAATCTTTATCTCTTTTTTTGTAGTTATTTTTTTTTCTTATAAATATATCTACAGCATGGATACTTCATTGATAGAAACCTGCCAGTTATGCTTTGCCATTTACTATACCTATTATTTACTAAGCCATTGCTGATAAATAAACTAAAATGTTTTCTACAATTAATAAAATCCTTTTAATTTAGCTCCTATTTTCACAAGCAATAGTGTATACATGCAATGTTATTATTTTAACCAGAGTGAAGATAATTCATTATATGAAACCATGGCAAATCTTGAGTCTTTGAAATAACTAACATGATCAAAGGGAATGTAAATCAGCATTTTTATCCTATATACTCAGTCTGGAAGGCAGCAGGTTACCCAATGTTTTTCAATAGATATTTTGAAAGTCTGTAAATAAAAAAATTCCATATTTTTTATATATTTTGAAAGTCTGTAAGAATTCCAAGAACTGTATAGTTACCCCGATGAGGAAATAAAACACACACACACATATAAAATATAATATTTATATTACAACTACTTAACATTGCAGTTTAGACTTATTTATTGATTTTTGTAGTTTGATGGCAATCATCCAATCATTTTGTTTCGTTAATAATCAGATTTCCTCATTTATTTTCAGGGTTGAATTCAAAACTGTCCTACAGCATATCTTCTGGAGATAGTATGGGCCAATTTCATATTAACAAAGATGGAGCCTTAAAACTAATAAAATCACTAGACAGGGAAAGCCAGTCGTTCTATAATCTTGTGGTTCACGTCCATGATATGGCACCTCCACCAACATCTAGATACACAAGTTCAGTGGAAGTATCAATCATTTTACTAGATGTCAATGACAACCCACCAAGTTTCATCTCTCCAAAATTGACTTATATCCAAGAGAACACTCCTACTGACACTGTTGTGTTCCGGGCACAAGCCACAGATCCTGACAGTGGTCCAAACTGTTATATTCAGTATTCATTACTTAATTCACTGGGTAACAAGTTTAGCATTGGAAATATTGATGGAGAGGTGCATCTGATAGGAGAGCTGGATCGTGAAGATGTTTCCAATTATACCCTAACAATCATTGCTACTGATAAAGGGGAACCACCACTTTCTTCATCTGTGGATGTCACAGTTATGGTGCTTGATGTCAATGACAACAACCCTCGCTTCTCACAAAGCATTTTTAAAGTGGAAATAAGTGAAAATACCCTAACTGGAACAGATCTTATCCAGGTGGTTGCATCAGATGCAGATGAAGGATTAAATGGAATGGTCCGTTACAGCATCATAGAAGGAAATCCAAACAATGAATTTAGGATTGATTCAGTTACTGGAGTAATATCAATAGCCAAACCTTTGGACCGTGAAAAGAGGTCTTCATACACATTGGTTGTCCAGTCATCAGATCGTGGTAGCAATTCGCGGACGGACACAGCAACAGTTAGCATTATTCTAACAGATGTTAATGATGTGGTTCCTAAATTTGAATTATCACCCTATTCAGTTAATGTTCCTGAAAATCTGGAGTCCTTGCCAAAAGTTATACTTCAGGTAAGTGGCATCTTAACTACAGCTCAAAGGCACATACTTAGGAACCTGTTATAGAATTTCTAATATGTCTTTGCACTTGGATTTGTCATATTTATTTATACATAGTCATTATTTATTCTTTTAATACCTTCTGATGTAATAACCACATTTTTAATAGTGTTTTAATCAGCACTGGTAATGAAATTATTAAGAACCAAATACTTGCCTAAAAACTAAACAGAAAATCACGTTATGAATGAACTTGGGAAATAAGTATTCTATATCTTCACTCCTTTAGGTTGTGGCTAGAGATGATGATCAGGGCCTTAACAGCAAATTGATATATGCACTAGCTTCTGGCAATGAAGAGCGGGCATTCAGGTTGTCATCAAACGGGCAGCTTAGCATAGTAAAAAGTCTGGACCGAGAGGTGAAAGAGCAGTATATTTTACTAATCACAGCAGTGGATTCAGGTATGTTTTCTCATGTATTTTTATATTGCACGTTGTGATTTCCCAAATAGTTTATTGCCTATCGTATTTTGGTCATGTGTTTTAATTCTCCTTTAAGGAACTATAAATGTTTGAGAATCAGGTTTAAAGGTTTATTACCTCCAGTCTATGGAACAGATTTTTATTTCAGCTTCTTAAATGCTTTAGGGCCATGTCAGAAGGGTAATTCTGCCATTGGTGACACATCACTAAAATAGGCAGCTATACACCATGGTGACACTGTACTACTTGTGGGGGGTGATGAAGATTTTTTTTTTTACACTGATTGCTTTTACACCCATAAATCATTTCTCCTTCTCTCTAGCTGCATTCTTGCAGCCATTGAGAACTACTGTGTGAGCTGTGATTGGTCACAGCTTGTCACATGGTACAAGGCTGTTGTGACTAGCCTTGTATCATGTGACCTCTGTGATCATTCACAGATTTCACATGTAGTAAGCAATGATTTCAGAAGTGACATCTTGCTTACTACTCTGCATGTGATCACTGATTGGCCAATCAGTAATCACATGATCAGGACCTCTCACAGAGGTCCCGTCCGATGATCGGTGTTCCACTGTGTCCGGAGGACACAGCGGACACCGGATCGCGGTGCAGCACGCTCCCAGGGAGCGCGCACAAGCAGGGTGCGGGGAGGCTATTTATAAACGGCCACCCGACCCTGCACAGCCACCGTGTGGCCGTTTATATACATGGGCCGGACGGGAGGCGGTGAAGTGGTCTATTAGTGATGTTAAGTTGTTGTCAGCGCCAGGATTTCTTGTGCTACATCAGCCTTAGTCACCGGTCACACCACTGTGATTTGAAATTGCGCGATTTGTGTGCAATTTCAGGTACAGTTTCTGAAGACTTTATTGCTACTTCTGAAGATTTTCAATGATTTCTTGCAATTTGCAGTGCAATTTCAATTGTATTATATTTATGTGAAATCACAACAAAAAACTGCAGAAAAAGTAATGCAAGAACTACTTTAGAAATCATGCTGCAGCAAATCATACATGTTAATACACTGACATTCACATTCATTAGATGCAATTTCAGGTGCGATTTCAATTCCCAAATTGCATCGGTAAGACGGGGCACTTAGTCTTTCAATCTGCTCCAGCTGTAGTGGCTCCAGCTTCTTTATACAGCTTTCCATTTTAACAAAGAATATATACCTTGTGAAAATTTAGCAATATATATTTATTTATATTATTAGAATCTTTGAGGTTTCGTAAGGTGCATTCATATTAACCTTTCCAAGTGGAACACAAGCTAAACACGTAGCTGAAGCACATACAGTAAATGTGAACTAGTTCATTTTCCAAACTACTTTCCAAAGTCTGGTGCTGTTGAGCATACTCCTTGCCTCCAAAATGCTCAATTGGCTATGGATGAACATATGCTGCTTCCTTCCTCTGCCTTCTGCATGAATCCTATCTGACAACTTTTCCTGACACAGGAGAAAAGTGGTGACAGGGGAGTGAGCTCCAGAAGATTGGCAGCCTCAGCTCTGTTCCTGTGTGATGTGTAAAGGGGTGTGTTTCCCTTTCATCCAATCAGCTCTCAGAGTTCTCCTCACTGAGCTCTGCAGAGTGTAACTTCAGCTCTCCTCCCCATTTTTTCTGAACTTTCACAAGGCTGTATAAAGTCTGGACAGATGTAGAGAAGTGAAAACTGCAGATAGACAGGTCAGAGGCGTCCCTAGGGTTGGTGTCACCTGGTGCGGTAACACTTGGTGACACCCCCTCTGATGATGCCCGCAGAATGGATCGGATCTGTGGATTGAGCATAATGGAGCGGAGTCCAACCCATTATGCTCCCCAATCCGCAGATCCGATCCATCCTGCAGGGATCGTCGGCTTTCTTTACAACTTACCTTTTCTTGGAGCGGGTCCGGTGTCACCCCGTGCGGTAGGTGTCACCCGGTGCGGGGAGGCACCTACCTCGGGATGCCACTGAGACAGGTACATCTTATATAGGAGGATTTGGTTCCCCTCTGTGTATCTTTAGAGGCCAGTCACTTCATTGGATATATGTAAGGTTTACAACCACTTTAACTGGTGGATTAAAAGTTTCTGCCAGAAAAATTAAAGACTGTCCTGGGCTCTTTTATCAGAAGCCCTAGCATGTTTTTCAGAACATCATGGGTGCACTCTGTAATAATAATTTGCAAAATAAAGATTTCATACAAATAATGAAAAAAGATATACAAAATCAGTTTGGAAACTCGTGAGCTTTCAAAATATTATGATACAGTTGACCAAAGCCATTATAGTTTCCCTTTAAAGTGGAGTTTTGTTTTATTTAGCTGGAAGAATTTTATTAAGAACATATGGCTGTTTTTTAATAACAAATCTGTTCAGATAGTATCATTCATAGTGTTGAAATGTTGAGAAGTGTGTCAGTCTTACTCAGGTTCCAATGAATGATGTCACTATTATTTCATGGCACGTCTATTTATTGTTGACTCACAGTTTTGTATGTGTCTTATAAGAATGCTGATAATATATTCTAGAAAAAATACACAGACAGTTAAGGAAAAATAATATGCAAATATCATTCCAACCAGTGACGGGATGTCTGTGATAAAGTATCATACAATTCCGTTTAAATTTGCGTGTGTGGCTGTGTAAAACAAAATCTGCCTCGTCTGTCTCCTGAGGCAGATTACTGTTAGCTGTCCTTAATCCACCTCTTGTGTAAGTGATAAATGCTGCGCTTGGAAGCACATACAAATAAGGATTCGTGCTTGAGCTATTAATGTTGTTCTGTATTAACATAATCAATTCATGATCATTGCTTTTCATTTTTGTTTTGGAGTTTACTCATTGTTGTAAATATCAGGCTTTCATTTGTTTTTGTTTGTTGGCTTTGGCAATAACAAACATTTAAATTTGCTTTCAAGAACTCAGCTTTCAATCTTTGGAACATGCATATGGGCACTGAAAACTGAACTCCAGCTATTACCCATCCCCCCAAAAATTGCAGTGCATATAAGTAAATTACATTATAAAATAACCACATGAACGATCCAGATAGTCCAATTGTTACATCTTGGAGTTAAGGTTTACATGTAGGAAAATGATCTGTAGTGACGTCCTTGCATAAAAATCTTTATGTGTGTGGTGCACACTGTCCACCATACAACACCCACTGTATGAACTCACCACATTGTAGAACCTCTCCCTCAGAAGAAGGGATAAATCGGATTAACCCACAGTTGGATCCCTTACTGTCTAGTTGACCCATCTATGAGGCTTAAAGCAGAAGGCTTTGCGGAGTCCATGATATTGATATGCTCCTTTTGACTTCTCTGGTTAGAGTCAAAATTGCTTTGGTAAATCATACTTATCCTTGGTGGTGGTATCACCTCAGTGTCTCCTTGGAGTTATTGGTGTTGGATTATTTAATGCCTTTCATCCACAGAGATTTATTTGGTTTACAAGGTGGGCTCACATTTGGATTCACATTTGTTTGGACTTTTGAATTTTATGTATATTTGATTCATGGTTTTTCACGTTAGTCCATTAGCGCAACAGATATCTTTTTGTTATTCATGAACTGTCACGTATATCTCATAGTATGTTCATGTTCTTAAACGTTTTTCACTTTCTATTTTTATCATTGTATATTCACATAAGCGTATTTAGGTTTTTTGGGACTATTTGTATCGCTCGTGTGTTTTTTTTATAATACTCAACTACTTAACTTAATCTGTGGTGACGTGATACTTCAGGTCCTCAGTCATCTATTTTCATCCCTGTAAAGAGTTCTTTCTTTGTGTGTCCATGTCAGTCCCTGGGTAATGTGAACATTGATTATTGGCTGGTCAGCAGCAGGGTCCTCTCACAAAAAGTGACTGGCTGCTGCTGACACAGACGTCAGCACTGGATCCACTATTCAGCACACACAGAAGGGACACAAACATAGGTAAGTAAGGAGAAAATTCTCAAGATATTTTATTAAAGGCTAAGTCATCTTTGGAACATGTTATATCTTACGCCCGTATTTAGGGTGTAACATGTAACATGTTCCTGCCCCCCGGGTGCTCCCCTCTCTGTGACAGCAGGCGGGGGTTCCTCTTAGCCACTGTCACATTTAAAATCAGCTTGGCTTTGTAGGGCTGCACCCACACAACCACATCATTTATTTGCAGTGATCTGTGAATGAATAAACTACAAGTCCTGTCTGCCTGGCAGACAGCTTGTAGTGCTCAGTGGAGTACAAACAAGTTGATCAGTGCACTTGCAGTCCATTCACACATCTTCCATCTTTCTAAATGAAAGCCCATACAGAGGTACAGGCAGAAAGCTGGAGGATGTGTCTGCAGGAGCCTGACATTGCACCCAAGATCCACTGGTCGCAGGTGCAATGCTTTGCAGGATCCTGTGGGGAAAAATAATTGTTGCATATTTTTTCCTGAAAAAAATATGTATTTAGAATTTTTCCTGCAAAGGTGAACTTAGCCTTTAAAGAAAAACTTTGTGAATGAGTTAGAGATGGGATGGAAGGGCTCAAAGCCTTTTTATCAAAAGTGCCCCTCCTTCATCCTACACATGCGTGCCGATTACCCATTCATTCTTCAGTGCCTATGGCTCCCTACAGCAGTCTTATGGAGCACAACTCTCCTCAAAGGAGTAAATAGGGTCATAGAATACACGTGCAGGATGAAAAATACTTGGCAGAACCACTTTCAGAAGAGGGCAGTACAACTTTGGATAGGACCTTACAGTGACGTTCCCTGAAACGTGGACATGGAAAAGTATTAGACCAGGTAAGCTAGACTCAGGGGTGTGGGGGCAACACCTTAAAGGACAATTTGTCATTTATATATATTTTGACAAGGGACATTCTCAGGTGGTAGCTCTGTGTCAGAAATTCACTGTACAATACTGTCTTTTTGAGATATTACTGGTTCCACATGTATTTTCATGTTGGATATTAATGGAAAATAGCTTTATTTCAGCAGTAAAAGC